GTAGCTGTAGCAGTAGCAGTAGTGGTAGTAGTAGTAGTAGTAGTAGTAGTAGTAGACGTAGAAGTAGTCTTAGTTTGTTTTGTGGCCCTCTACTATAGTTGGGTGGGATTCGGTTGAAACAGGAGTTTCGGACACAACAATGATTAGTTACTTTGGCTGGGGTTCAGGTGAGGTTACTTTCGGCTAGGCTAGATTTGGATTATAAGTTAAGTCTGAGGTCGGCCTACACCAGGTAAGGTCAGGTTAGATGTTGGGCCGTTGGGTTAGTAGTTAGAGGATGGTTTTGGTCTGGGCAGATGTGCTTCGGTAGGCTTCGTTAGATCAGGTTGGCTTAGGGCAGGTTGCTTATGTCGGTCTGGAGTTGACGGAAGGTTAGGCTAAGGTAAGGTTAGGTCAAGTTAGGGTTAGGTTTAGTTAACAACCTTGAATTTTCCGTGCTTTGTTAAGTTGGGTCGGCAGTTGGGTTGCGGGTTTGCTCAGTGGGATCCAGGTTTCATTCGGTGAGGTCACAATAGATGGGTTTAGGTTAGGTTCGGATAGGGGCAGGTTGCAGGGGGGTTTCCCTCAATAGGGCTTCGGATAGGTTCGGTTAGGTCAGGTTTGATACGCCTGCGGTGCAGGGCAGGCTTGGTTGATCTCGGGTTTAGGCTAGTTAGGTCAGGGTAGGTTGGATTAGGTTAGGTGAGTGTGCATTTAGTCATGGTCTTGGCTGCGCAAGCGTTTGTTAGAGCCGGGCAGGAAAGGTTGCGTGAGGAGCCTAGTTGAGAGAAGGTTGGCGTTCGGTGTAGGTTAGGCCACTTTAGGGAAGGTTAGTTAGGCGACGCTGGGTCGGGGTAGGTTCCGCTGTGCTAGGCTACTGGTAGGTTAGATTAGCTTCGGTCGGGTCGATTAATTGGGTTGGATCAGGTTAGGTTAGGTTTGGATGGTCGGCGTTACACCTGAATGTTTTGCGACATTGTTTCAGGCGTAGGTCAGGTTGGGTTAGGTTAGCTGCGGGTTTGGGATCGAAGAGGGGGGGCTCTGAATGATGGCTGAGTCACTCTGAATTGGCTGTTTCCGAGTCGTCCCTTTGTGTTGTCGGATTCCTTCCTGTCTTCTCAGTTCTCCTTTGTTTTCCGAGCCATGGTTTCCGAATCCCCTGTTACAGTACCCTATGGCATCCTACTGCTACATAAAATCTAAACTCAAGCTAACCCACGGTGAGGAGTCGGAGTGCACCCGGCCCAGCCTCGGCTAACCCAGCCAAGCACCCCGCAGTTCCAGTTTTTCAAACAGGCGGTGTTTTCTCCAGAGTTTGCCTGGCATTGCCTGGTGCTGGAGCTGGTCCTAACGGGCGGGTTTAGGGGCTGGGGTTGGCCTTGGCTACGTCCCCGAACGGCTGAAAAACATGCAAAACAACATGATAACTGTGATAATCCAACCTCACGCCTGGGAGACCAAAGATCAGGTCAGGTTGGCTTCGTTTAGCTTAGCTCGGTTTGGCTTGGGTCAGACTGGGTCGGGCATTGGGTGAGGTGAGGTTAAGTCAGTCTAGCAGAGCTTTGGTTACGTTGCATGGGTTGAGTTGGGTTGGGTTAGGTTAGCTGGAGCAAGAAGACGACGGCTTACCACGCACCTTGCAACATCTCAGGACTCAGAACCGTCGTTCAATCAGTTCAAGGAGTCATCTTGGTAGAGCTCATGTTGCCAGGTGAAAAATTGGTGGACTCAGGGTGGCCATGCACAGAACCTTACGTTCATTTCGCAGGCACGGCATTTTAAGGCTGTGTGCATTTGGCTACGGATGAGCATGCGCTTGTGATTACATTGCAGACTAGCGGTGGTGGTGGTGGAGCTCGAATCGCCGGCAAGCTCATGGATGTGTTGGAGATGAAGCAGAAATCAGAGCAGGCAGCTACGATCTGTCTTAAACGCAGAGAAGCAGGCAACCTGACTTGCGAGAATCAGAGAAGTGAAAGCTTGGTCTGCCAGCTCGTGAACGAGCAAGAGATGTACTCTGCCTATTGCCGGCTTTCCTCGGCACACGCCTTAACAGAGCAGTTTGACGCACCGAATCTACCTGAGATTGAGAAGAAATTGTCGACAGTGCTTACAGGTCCAGCTTCGCAAGAGGGACGAAATCCAGCCTGGGTCTAAAAGGATGCGGGCTGCATGACATCTTGCACACGAGCACAACTGCCAGACTCGTTGTTTCCTTGTAAACGAGTTGACTCTGGTGCATTGAGACGGGAAAGCTATGTTCACGTTTGTAGGCATCTTCCGCACAGAAGGAAGCAGTTCGCACCACTACCCCACTACCTCATTCACAGTCGGAATTTTGCACACTAAAAAGGAGAACAATACACACAGCTGTTGATGCTGAAGAAAGCGATTAATCGACGTTGAGTTCCACAAAGGCATACTGTTCTAGAAAGGTCATAAGGGTGCCTTCAATGCACTTAGAAGCCGTGCAGAACAACAGGCGGTTCGGGACATTCCGTAGAATCCGCAGAACTACGATCCAAGCATTCCACGGCCACAAACTCCGTTTAGCGCCCAGAACATGCAAGACAAATCTCCAAAACTCTGAAGTCACGCCACTCAGGCCGCTCTACTACAATGCGTGTTTGGAGCCAAAGGATGCAGAGTGAATTTCAAGTCTGAAGAAGGTATGTAGTTCGCTTCGAATTGCAGAGCTCCGTGTCGAGTGGGCACTGCGCAGGAAGGCAACGGCCTGCCGTGTAATCGGCGCGTCGACGAAGCGAATTTCTGTGCTGTTTGCAACAAAACGGTCAAGGCCGGCCGGGGCTCAGAGGGACTTGCTTCTTCAGCTCCACTGTACCTTTCAGGCTGCACCTCGTCTCAATCTGCGCTGCAGATTCGAAGATGCATCTGGTCTCGCAGTAGAGTAACTGGTCCATATGGTACTAGTACCAAGCAACCTTTACCTAGAATATGGTGGAGCAGCGAATGACTCTGACTCTTGTACATTGCGCTTGAAATAATAGTTTGCCGGCATCAGTTCATCTGTTGTGGTAGTGCTGGGGTTGCATGTGCTCTGACTCTCTTAGCCTGCACTCTTCGAAAATTATAAGTCGACTCATGTCGAGACACGCTTTTGCCAGAGCTCCGAGCCGGTCCGGCCCGGTGGGTCTTCTGGAGCCTCACATGCCTCGTCACTACAATCATTACATGCACTCTTAGTCTCTTCAGTTCAGCAAAAGTCGGCGTGCTTGGTCGCGGCAAATTCGTTCTTGGCTATGGTTCCGAAACTCCGAAACTGCACCTTCGGAAATCCCCCTGCTATCTCTTCGCGGTAGGCGTAACTTGTGGGCGCTGGCCTAACTCGAAATGTTATGAAAAACACAGAAGGATGTAGTAAGAGAGAGCTCCGACAACCCTCCAGGCGATTAGCAGTTGAATGAGTGCCGATTGTGCTGCACAGCTGAGGCAACCGGCAACTTCTGGGTCACAACTTTCCACCCGGTCAGTCGATTGCAGAGCTTGTATACTGCTTGCCATACGATTCCATGTGGTTGCCACTCAAGACTAGGATTCGATGTCACGTAAACATGCTCCGCAGGCAGCCGAGAAGGTTCTTGGAATGACGGCGCAAGAGGCAGGGCAGCCGGTGATAAACTGGAGCATGTCCTAAGCCTGCGAACCTACTGGAGCTCTGCACACAACTACAACGTGCTCCATTGCTTCTTGTTCATCTCTTCGTCAGCTTGGCGGAACTCTTTGAGCTTGTCAGACTCTGTGTGGATGTTTGTGTGGCGTGCAGACCGCTCACAGTTCGCTTCGTTTGCACTGAATTGGATTGAATGGTAGTTGCCGCCAGGTTGCTGACATCGAGAAGAACGAGGGGCGAGAGGCTGCCGAACGAAGCATACAGTTTTGACCAGGGCGCCGACCGAGTCTAGAGAAAGTGAACGGGGGCTCGAGCTGCCGCATCGAGACCTTTCGCCGTACCGGCTGGGACCCACAAAAAAGACCACGCCAATGGCAAACTGGCATGAAGACAATGGTGGATTTCAGCATAAAGGGAATCATGAATCCGATTCCACTGCGGAAGAGAATCCAAAAGGGTAAGACAAAGCGCAGAAGTTCAGATGCGTTGGGGAGGAGCGCTGCATTGGTGTCCGAAGACCTGTAGCCTTCGATCTTGTGACTGCAGGCTGTGGAGGCCAAGCTGAAGAGCTGCTACTATGCTCAGGTCGTGCAGGCTCTTGCACACAGGAATCGCAGAAGTCGAGGATGGTTCTTTTCCAGGTTTCCGGAGTCGGGTTGGAGCACCGGAGTGGACAAAGAGCAGTTTCTTGTGCTAAATGTGTTAAATGCAAGCATCATCGACAATGCGCGTGGACTACTGGCGGGAGCTGAGTAGGGCAGAGGGAGGCATCAAGGAATCTGTCAATGCTCCCAACTGTTCTTCAAAATCCCGTCTCAAAGGTGCAGCTGCGTGCAAAGCCGGACAACTACAACGGCGAGCATCTTGCCTTCAGTTCTGACACCCCGCAATCATCTTGAAGATTGAAGCTTGATGCCCAGAGCGGTTGCAAGAGCAAGGCAGCGGACAAACGTTTCCTGTCCGTCGGCTCAGCCGATCAATCGACGAGAGCATGCTCGGTTCATGCCACACGCCAAGCTGTGCAGAATGCAAGTAGAGGAAGGTGATGCAGATGAGAAGATATCACTGACGGTGTGTTTGGCTTATTCGGAGATTGCCTGCTCTGTATCCTTGCCTAAGCCATCTTAAGCCTTGAGCGGGCATGAGGGAACGAGAGGGAGGAGGAGGGTGGCACATGCCTGCTCGTTTTCACGGCCACTCTCTCTATCTCCCTCTCTCTCTGTTCCTTTGGGGTGCTAGTCAGCAGTGTGGACGCCGGCAGATCCCTTAGGTTTGGATTTAGCTTGGGCTTTGCACGTCGAATTTCACCGGGCTGAGACATCGTATGGGGAAGAGCTGTCGCAGAGAAGAGCCAGCCGTCTCCCAGTGAAACTCGGTCACTGAATATGTCGGCAATTTGGCGAGCATTGTGCGAGAAGGCTGAAAGAGATTGAAGAGATGCTGGCGAAAGCTGCCGCAACCTCAATGTCAATGGCCATCCAAAAGCCGCTTCCAAGCTCAGCCGGCCCAGGTCTGCTGAGATGTGCCCTTTCTCACGAAGCACATGAAGCATAGCCTAGGGCCTAGGAGCCTGTGTGGTCCGAATGTCCGAAGCCAGGGGCACTTAGCCACAGCGTGCCAAGGGCATTGCAAAGCCGCCAGCCGGCGCTCCTAGCCTGTGCACAGACAGCAACATGCAGCAACCAGCTAACTTTAAGCTCATAGCGAGCAAAACATGAGCAAACGTCATGCTGAAACCCACTTTTTGTAGAGAGCATTGTTGGCTAGATGGCCTTGCTGCCCGTGTTTCTGCAGGATGCATTTGTGGCCCGTGCGACTGTCTTCAGTGGGTTGGTCCGGCAAGGACCCGTTTCACGAGCTCACTCAATGAGTGGCCAAGGCCTGCGCGGGTTACTCCTGCGTAGCACTATGTAGCACTCCTACGGCCCTGGCGGCAGCTCCAGCACTACTTCTGCGACGCTTCATATAAGCTCCCTAGCTCTGCCGTATTCCTTCGTCGCAGCAGCTTGTTTCGATTCGCCGCCGCGGTCTTAGTATTGGTCTTTCCGGCGAGATGGGGTCTTCTACGCTCCGTGGCGGGGCACAGGAATGCAAGCCGTGAAAGGGCGGAAGGGACGGGCTTGTGACTGCCGACATGTGAACGAAGTCGTTCTTGGCCGAATACCTCCAACCATATTCGCCGCCCACGCATGCTCCAGCGAGAATTCCCCCGGCAGACAACGGCAGTGTCGGGCGGGGCTCCTGTGAAAGCCTACGAATGGAATGCAGACAACCTTCACACCACTACTGTAGTCACATGTGTCAGGAAGCCCGTACTAGAGACTGTCCTGTATGCACCAAATCTTTTGCTTCTTAAATGTGTCCAAGGAAGTTCGGGCACTTGCCGAAGTTAGAGGTGGCTTCGAACGACACAAGTTGTGCACGGGCCCTCATGCATTGGCTGCGACGCCATGGCACGCAAGGGAAAGCGCGAGAAAAGCATCTGCGCAGGCCCCCACCGCACTTGATTCTTGCAGCTCCATTTACAGAGCTTTGGCTTTGCAGGTGCTTTTCAACCCTTCCTGCTGCTTGCGGGCGGCGCAGCGGTCTCAGAAAGAGTGGGATGAATGCCTTCTGAAAAAACACTGTCTCGGCAGGTGATACTGACATTCGTGACAGCTTTGATAGTTCTCTACACATCCCTCGGCTTCGCACCTGGTGGACTCGGTCAGAGTTAGAAATCTAAAAACACAACTTCCCATCGAGGCCGTGAGCTCGAAAGCGAGTTTGGGCAGTTTCGTCTCTCACACTTCCGCGGACTGCGGAGAGTGCAGTCTTCCGCGCTTGGGAGGTGCCACTCACGAGACTGCTGAATTCAGGAAGTCTCCCTGATGAAACTCCTTCTGTGGCCTTGACATGTCTTGACCAGGGTTGCGACGGATGCAACCTCGCAGCGTTCTTCGCTTGCCGTGATGCAGCTTTGCGACAATGCTTTTGTCTGGAAACGTGCAGTGCAGACTGAGTAGTCCAGTCTCCGCAGAATCTAGCAAAGGTCTCAAAGACCTTCTGCATCTTGATTGCAGATCGTTTCGAGCATGCAGCAGTCTTTTATAGTCTGAGTACTGAAGATGCCTGACATGTCTGCCGAGGTGTTTCAGGCAGACTTCAGTACAACGTTTTCGGGCGCTAGCGCAATGCACGCAGCACCCGAGATGTGGCCAGCACTGGAGGGCGGGCGGGCTGGTGTCGTAATCTTGGCACACGACCGTCCAGATTGTCTTGCACGGCGCCTGGCAGCAACGCTTCAAAGAAGTTTGAAAGCCGAAAGCAGTTTTGGCAACTGCGACTGCCTGAGGTGCTTGGACTCCTTGGCTGCGCAACCGGACCTTAGCCTTGTCGCTACTGTGGTTTCTTTGGATCACCCAGCGTCTTTCCGGAAGATGGAGGCCACGGCCTATAGGCGCCCAAGCACTCCTAAGCCCGGCTCCGCTTCTGCAGGCCGTGGTTGAGAAGTACTCTGAGAAGTTTAAGATTGGTGTCTGGCACAAGCCAGATGATGCAAGCCTCAAGGTGCCATGCTGCCATGCAGTAGAGCCTGTAGCGGGCCAAAGTGCTTCTCCACAAGTTCGCGCTGCTAAGCATGTGAGGTTGCGGTAGCAAAGATCGCCGCACATTTCAAGTTCGCCATTTCACAAAGAACTTCGACGGCACTGGCGAGCGTACGGCTTAGAAATGTGGAGATACCCGCTGAACTTTTCAGGTTTCGAGGTGGCCGGCTTTGAATTCGCGATTTTCATCGAGAACGACTTGACATTGGCACCAGATTTTCTGTGGTATTTCCGTCTTACAGCACCGCTTCTGCTGCGTGACCCTTCAGTGTGGTGTGTGTCTGCATGGAACGACAATGGTTTTCGGCAGCTCGCACCAGATGAGCATCGCCTGTTCAGAACAGACTACTTCCCGGGGCTGGGCTGGATGATCCGAGTCCTGGCATGAATGCTGCCGTTTGCAGCTGCTTGCTGGCAAAGACAGTCTGAGTCTGAGGCAACAGCACCTGGCCTATGTTGCGAGACTCGTGGCCATCCTTTCCGAGCACTGGCTGGGACCACTGGATACGCCACGGCTCTGGCTTAAAGCCTCGTGACTGCATCGCGCCGGAAGCCCCACGCACCCGGCACGTGGACAGCAAGGGCACAAATGTCAAGGATGGGTGACGTTTCAAAGTTCTCCTGCCTCTTCAGGCTGGTTCATGCTGAGTCGCTCTCACGGCAGGCAGGGACTCCCATTCTGAAGCTCCTTGAGAAGATGGCCACAAGCAGCCTGCCACATGGCCAGCTGCAGGATGTAACTTATTTGTTGAGGCCTGTGCTGCCTGCTGAAGCCGCGCAGTCTGAAGCGATCTGTGCATCTTTGTGCTGCTCCGTGAGCCCCTGGTAGGGAAGAATACGAGACCAAGATCCGGAAGCAGTTGCAGGATGGAGAATTGGTGCGCTCTCTGGACGAACTTCCCGCGCGCATACCTGACAAAGTTCCTGGAAGATACCATCTCATTCCGTATGTTCGCGAGGACTGCGAAGATGTGTTTGCATGAATCTGAATACTGATGTTCTAAGTCTCAACCCGGGCGCACATGTCGCAATGTCGGTTTAGAGCCTGTGACTAAGTAGACGATAAGCTCCACCCCAGTTGCTAAGAGAGTCACTGATAGCTTTCCCGGCATGTGGCATGAGATCGACAGAAATTGAAGTCGATTGCCGTGGCAAAAAGTCCCGGGAGGACTTCCCTGCTCTTGCCAGCAAGCTTCAACTGTATCCTGGACAACCGAGAGGGGGTTGGCGAGGCCGATTCTTCAGTGCCGTCAGTGCTTCGACCCCTGCAACATTGGCGAGATTTTCGGTCTTCAAAGATTTCTTTCCGACGGACTGATGATGCAGGAAATCCACAGGATAACCGGATAACCTAAGAGCACTCTATCCACACTCAGACTCAGTTTCCGATTGACAGCAACCTTCATGAATCCTCACACTGTTCCAGCATAGGCTTGTTCGATTTGTGAGAGCGAGATGGGGTACCAAGAGCCGCGAGCCGGGCTTTTTCTAGAAGATGAAGAGGCTACATCCTAGCGTCCGAGAGCATTTGTAACGGACAGTCGGTTGCGATGTTCGAGACGAGACGGGGCACAAACATCGTTTGAGCTCAGCCGATCGTTCTCCTTGAATGGTCGGTCGCTTCCAAGAATCTGCCCTGCACAGACATGACGGACCGGGAAGGCATAATCTTCAGCCGGCATCCGCAGTCACATGCGCTGCTCGCTTTGATCGATCGGCGCCAGGCGGGCAAGAACCGGAGCTCCAGTAGCGCACACCCTCGAGAGGATACATGTGTTCACCTGCTTTGCTTCAGGGAGAGGGGCTTCTTCCAGAGAATGAACTTTGGCGTGCAGATCCAGGCAATGTCATTACGAAGCGTGGCTGCATCGAGAGCACATTCGACTTTCGACAGCAAAGCGTGTTCAGTTTTGTCGTTGCCAAGGAAAGCCCAGCCAGGGCAGTCATGCGAAGTGGCTTGCAGCAAGGTGGGACCTTCTTTTGCCGACTGCTTGCAACCCTTCGCGCACTGGTGTTGAGGTATTACAAATTGCAAGCTCTTTGCTAGCCTGGGCTGGTGAGAAGCCTAGTGGGACCTTCCATACTTTTTTTGGCTCAGCCTTAGCCCCTGGAAAGGTCGTGAAGAGTCCTGCTGCCTAGAAGCCTAGCCGAAATGCTTTACAGCTACAAAGCTTGCATCCGCAAGATGGTACATTTCCATTATAGAACTCTTTAGATCCTCTAGTGGCAGCGCGATGTTCTAGTAGTTTGCTCTCCAATAACTATGCAGACTCCCGGCTGGCGCCATCATTCAAGGTTCCCCACAAAACATGAGTCCTTCGATCTGCCGCCGGCCCGTTGGATTTGCTTGGCCCTGCCGCCAAGCCAGATCTGCTTGCTCCAGCGTTCCAAGCTCCGAAACGCCTCCACCAAAAAGGAAGGATAAGGTTGAGTTGTACTCTAACCTCATCCGGCACTCGCCGGAATTAGGACCTTGCCGCACACCGCTCGGGCAGAAAGGTCAGGTGCGAGGCCGAGCCTCTTTCGCCCACGATGCAGCCGCAAATCGTGGGTCATCCTTTCTATGCCAGTCTTTCTGGTTGTTCGAGCTCTGTCATCATTTTCCTGATGAGTCGTGCGTCGTGCAAGCGTGGAAGGGTGACAGGTTTAGTTTCATGTTGTCTGGAAGGCTGGCCTGAGATGTGATCCGCGACAACTAGAGTTCGCCAACAACTGCAACGCCTTGAAGCAGCACTTCCCTTGCGAGAACGGTTGTGGCCATCAGGCACGAGGTGTATTCGCGGCATTTTCAGAGGGAGCGTTCCCGTTGTATGTGCTGTGAGGTTGGAGCCGAGATACCCTGCTACGTGCACGACATGACACGAGACACAGCTTTGCAATGCCTCGTGACGGATGAGTCAGCGCCCAATTGCGCGAGTATGCATCCAGCCACCACTCGATTGTGCATGTGCACTCCAGCAGAAAATGGCATTGGGCGGCTGGCCATTGCTTTTGTTTGGTCCCAATCCTCGTGAGACGAAGATGCCTTTTCAGACGACATCATTCGCATGAAAGATTCATGTAGCTAACGTGTTCACGACGCTTTGTGCTCAAAGATTCATCGTAATTTACGGGCGCAGTCTTTACTATCACCAAACATCGTGCAAGCAAGCTGCCTGTTACGCAAGCGAAGCCTTCAGAACAGCACAGAGAGTTGTCATACAGTCATGGAGAACCGTAGATTCGGACACCGAGCCGCTGTGACATCCTCAGTTTTATGCGCTTCGGATCGTCCACGAGCCTTGCCATTTTCTGGTTTGTTCTGTGGAAGGTGCGGTTTGCCAGGAGGCCCAGAGCCCGCCCAGCTGGCCTAGCATGCTTTGCACCGGCCCTCGCCTCAGCCGGGTCGCATGCGATCGCATGCGATGCGAGATCTTGTTTGTTGCTTCGCAGGTGCTAGCAGCACTCGCAGTCTCGTCTGCCGCTTTCTGTGGCATGTACCAACTGCACCTGTCGGCGGCAGAGGGCCAGCTGACCCAATCAAGGCCTGTTCTGAAAACTTGGGTGTCATGCTGTCTTGACGTTCTGCTCCAGGCTCGACAGTTTGGCTTCCGCCGCAACTACCCTCCAGGCAAACCGATAACCACGCTGTGCTGCCGATGCTGCCGGTAAGGTAGCACCCGATAACAGCTGTTCCAAGCCCAGCATGTGTGCGCACATTGGCTGCGCACAGTTGCACAGGGCCTTCCAGTATTTTTCCAGCGTGAACCGCACGATGCCATTGGGCTTAATATGCTTGATCAGGTTGAACAGTCGCACCACCAGCTTTCCGGTATCATCGCTCAGTATACACGTCCAGAACCAGCTGTGACCCAGTTTTTGCATTTGTTTAGCAGTCCGTTCAGCAGCAGTGTAGAGTTACCAGACCAGCACGGTGCTGCACGACCATGATCTGTTTCGAGGGTGTGCCGACTTTAAGGTTACAGTTGCATTGATACACGCATGTGCGAAATGTTCTTTGTGCGTACATGACCGTGCAGCTTGAGAGTTGTTCCCTAACAATCCCTAACAACTGCATAGGACGCAATGCAAGTCAGTCTCTACATCGCAGAGAGTATATGTAGTAGAGTGTGTTTGGAAGTGACTTCTG